TCAGTAGGGGAGGCCTCTTCAAACTCCTCAAAGTGATTGGCTGCCCAACGAAGCTACTGGCAGTCATCTCTTCTTTCCATGACATGAAAGGAACAATACAGCACAGCGGCACCACCTCAGAGGAATTTCCCATACTCAGCGGTGTAAAGCAGGGGTGCGTGCTTGATCCAACACTGTTTGGTATCTTTTTCTCACTTATGCTCACACATGCCTTTGGGACAGCAGAAGAGGGAGCTTTCTCTATACAAGATCTGATGGCAAACTCTTCAACCTTGGCCGTCTCAGATCCAAAACCAAAGTCCGCAAAGTCCTCATCAGAGAACTCCTATTCGCTGATGATGCCGCGTTGACAGCTCACACAGAACAAGGTCTGCAGACACTCATCAACCACCTTGCCAATGCCTGCAACAACTTTGGCCTGACAGTCTGAAAAAGACCAATGTCATGGGTCAGGATGTCAGAGACACCCCTTCCATAAACATTGGCAGCTACATCCTGGAAGTCGTTCAGGACTTCACCTACTTGGGTTCCACCATTACCTGCAATTTGTCCCTTGTCACAGAGATTGACAAGCGCATTGAGAAGGCGTCTACAGCTATGTTCAGGTTGACCAAAAGAGTGTGGGAGAACAAATTCATAACGTTCAACACCAAAGTATATGTGTATCGGGCCTGTGTCCTTAGCACACTCCTCTATGGGTCTGAGTCCTGGACAACATACGCCCATCAAAAACATCGACTAAACACATTCCACCTCCGATGTCTCAGGCGCATCCTCGGTATCAGATGGAAAGATTACATTCCCAACACCTCAGTCCTCAACTTGGCCAACATTCCCAGCACGTTCTCTCTACTCTGTCATAGGTGCCTGAGATGGCTTGGACACATGCGCCGGATGCAGGATGGCAGAATACCCAAGGATGTCTTGTACGGCGAGCTGGCATCGGGCACACGGGCCAATGGTCGCCCAGTCCTGCACTTCAAAGATGTCTGTAAACGGGACATGAAGAGCTGCGACATCAACCGAAATGACTGGGAGAAAACTGCTGGCGACCGACTCAGCTGGCAGCAGGCTGTGAAAACAGGCCTCAGGAGAGGCGAGGAGAAAATACACACTGCTTGGCAGACCAGAGGGAGCGACGTAAAGAAACAGCAATACATACATCTGGAGCTGCCACCGCATTCACTTGCAATTGCTGTGGCAAGGATTGTCACTCAAGGATTGGCCTACTAAGTCATTCTAGGCGCTGCAAAACTTACAGCTGACCTCGTAAGGCGCAAAAGAATTGTCTCTCGGGACACACAGGCCTATGATGACTATGTAGTGTATAGTGTAGTGTATGTTGAACTCTTTTTCGGAGGTGTGCTAATCGGACGTGTGGGGGAAGGACAACAAACCAAACACCAACAAGCAGTTATAAAGAAATTAGTTCTGAGATGATATTGAAACAACGCTGATCTCAAACAAAATTTTATTACACAAAGGGTTGACAATTCAGATCATGATAATATTTATCAGCCCCTCGGTCTCACAATACGCACTTACAAAATATTCATGAAAATCTAACAAAAAGTATGTGATACGCTAAATAACCAAGTAACTCAAGGGGACCACCTTCAACAATCAAATGATAGATAAATACGTTTGACAACGATAAACTGTATATACCTCTTCTAGACAACCACAAGTCATTCCATTCTAAGTAACTTTACACTTGCTACCGGCTCTAAAGCAACAACAAGGAGTTGTAACTAAATACATTGGAATTCTGAGGATCATTGACAACACTCCCCCCACTACCCACCTCACCCCCGCCCATTGTTCTCATCGAATAAAAATGATCAGGACTCGATTTAACGACCTGGAAAACAGTCAAAATAAAAATTGGGGTAATTTCTTCATCTCGAAATATAGGCAGACCTCTCTTAGCGCGACCCCACAGGGAACGTCAATGAGTGATAGCGATGTTTGCCCTGGAGATTATTTTAGTAAAAAATGAAATAAAATAAAGTGGACTCTCGATTATCCGTGCGCGTGGGTTTATCCTATTTGTGGATTAACTGAACACCTGAAATTTTGACATAAATTCAATAGCCCAAATTAATAATCTAAAAAACATTTCCACATTGTTATTCTTGGAAATATTTACTACAAGTCACGTGCTTAAATTGAACAAATATGTTGCTCCGGTTAATCTGAAATCCACACAGTCGGCCCCTACAGTACAGGAGTTGCCATATCTTTACAACAGTGGGCGGAGTTAGATTGATGTTGATTGGCGTGGCCCTGCTGTCCACTTCGTGGGCAGACTCTTCTGCTGGGTGGGAGCAGGAAAGTTATCACCGAGCACGTGCATCATCGATCGGTAATTCACACCTATATTTGTGTTTTTTGGCATAAAGGTCCGCGGAAAAATGGATATTTGTATCCGTGGAATGTCCTCCCCGTCATTAGCACGGATAATCACGAGTCTACTGCACTGCAATCTAAAGAGCGCATCCGAATGCGAGAACATACAGCAGGAGTGCTGGCCTGGGGTTAATGAACCCCCGTGCCGCCTATCATTCAGCCAATGAGAGCAAAGCATGCCCTGAGCCGATCAGACCACAACCCCCCTACAGTTCGATTATCACAATTCACGGTTACGATTTTTTTTACCGATTTGTTTAGCCAGTCTGGAACTCGCGAGACCAGGGTGGAGTCTCTGGCTCAAACCCACGGAGATTTAGACTGAGGATATAGCTAAGATCACAGGGATCATTGGAGCCTTGCATAAAGTACAGTAGAATGAACGCATGAGGACAGTATATAAAACGTATTATTTTATGCATGAAATAACTTTGACCGTCTGTACTACTGGCGATGTTACCAATACGCCAACGAAGCGCTCGAGGTTGGTCACAGCGCCGTCGGGAACGCATCCCCATGAACGCTGCTTTCACCTCACCAGGAACAACAACGCATCGAGGTGGGGTCTGACCGTAAATTTCGATTTCCAACTTCAAAAACCGTTCAATCGCGACCGCAATTTCCCAGAACGAATATCAATCATAAACAATAACAAAATGTAAAAAAAAAACGTTCACGTTCTAAAGCACCAGCTTTTGAGATGGGCAAACGGACATTGCCAAGAACGTTTGGAGATCAAGCCCAGGCTTCGTAAGCAAAAAGGGAGGCACCTTGTCCCGTCTATTTTTTTGAAACAAAGACAATTACAAGAAAAATGTTGAATCGTGCGTCTAAACAGAACGGGGTGACGCGGTGGTTCCACGCAGTACGACTGCAAGAACGACGGCTCATTACGGCAACCCGTTTTTTTTTACGGCTCGATAACAACGAGCAAAAGTACGGAACAGAAACTGAGACTCGGGACCACATCACCATGCGGCGCTGACCACCGTCGAGGCAGCGTGGGTTGGGTGGGTCACCGAAAACGCAACATGTGAACCTGATGGCGGTACCCCGGGGTACCATAGTACCCCGGCTCTCGCATAATGTCCGTGATGCAGTCGTTTTTAGTCTGTTGGTGGTCGGCGATGCGGCAATCGACTCATCTCGACGAGCTGCGCACGATGCACTATTCAAAGTTGCATTTTTCGATAACGGATTTTTTTTATGCTCATGCTTGGCTTGGCATTGCGACATCGCGGAGTAGCCCTGATTTCGGATTGATTGGTACCCCAATCGCGGAGTTAAGTAACACCCCCGGAAAAAAAAAAGTGTCCCAGAAATAAAATATTTAATTGCCTCGGCCATTTTGTATTATTTGGTACCCCGGGGTACCGCCATAAGGATCATTTGTTCTGCAAAAACTTTCCCTTCCCATGTGTATCATCGAGGAGGTTCCATAAACCCTGCCTGGTTCGCCAGCAGAAGAAGATACAGCCAAGCGCGGACGAGTATTATCTGTCCATTCTACATGGGATTGAATCCAATCGAGTCCAGTTTATGTCGCCTGGACGGGTTGCGATTGCATTCATTCTGCCACGGTTCAACCACGCCAGTCCAGCTGTGCGTCGGTAATAGCAAGGAGGATATATGTGGGGGGGGGGGGGGGGGGGGCGAACATAGAAGTGCAGTACAACAATGTACATATTTTTTTCTGCACTGCCCCCTACTGTTCATGTGACGGTATAGCCCGCTACAGCCCAATGACAACTATGTTGCATGGCAACCCGTTGTGGGAAGGGTGATTACCCATCCAAGTATAGGGACTGCTCTACTTATGAATGAGTTAGGTTCCAGAGGTCTGTTCGTAAGTCGATTTGTTAGAAAGTCCAACTTTACGCCCGTCGATTCCAAATATGTCGTATGGCGTGTACACTAAACACGGTGAATGGCATTAAAAGTTGCACAATCTCCTGTAGATGTAGATGCGACTGGTTCTTCATATTCTGCAGGCGTAAGTGCCACCACCGCCATCTATTGCGCAGCAGTTGAACTTACGAATCTCATTCCGAACAGCTGCAACTGGACATATGGACATGTTTGTTCATATCTCCTAAAGTTCTTAAGTCGAATGTTAATAAGCAGAGGAGACCGAGTACTATCCAGGCTGAGCCTTGCTTGGCTTCTGGAGTCTCCAACAAGATCGGGAGACTTGGTAAACAGCAGACATTAATCAGAAAATTCCGATACATTAAAAAAATCAGTTCAACATTTACGGATACATGCATAGAACCCACACATTAAAAAATCACTGGTCATTGCTGTTAATAGATTGTTACTGTTAATAGATTGTTACTACCTATGGAATATATACATTCACACCTCTGCTCTGTCTATAGTCAGGGAATAAATTAATTAAAAAGCACGATTTAAATCCGAAATAACACCTTTTTCAGTTCGAGGTTTTCAACTTCCCAGCGTGGAGGACTAGCTTTCCTGAAAACAACCTCCCTAAAAAATATCCACGCATGCGTGTCGTCCTCTGACCAGTGCGTAATTCTGCAACCCAAGTCGAAAGCTTCCCCCCCCCCACCCACACGAACCCCCTTTCAGATGTGCACCTTCTCATGGGAGTGCGTCCTAAAATGCTTGTTTAAATAAGTCCGCGTTGTGAACCTCTTCCCGCAGTCCTTGCACATGTACGGCCTCTCTCCCGTGTGCGTGATGGAGTGCTTGTCCAGGGTGGAGCGCTGCGAGAACCCCTTGCCGCACTCCTCGCACACGTGCGGCTTCTCGCCCGTGTGCGTCCTGGAGTGCATCTCCAGGTTGTAGCGCTGCGTGAACCTCTTGCCGCACTCCTCGCACATGTACGGCCTCTCGCCCGTGTGCGTCCTCGAGTGTTTCTCCAAGGTGGAGCGCTTCGAAAACCTCTCCCCGCACTCCTTGCAGATGTGCGGCTTCTCGCCCGTGTGGGTTCTGTAATGGGCCTCTAAATTGGAGCGCTTGGAAAACCTCTTGCCGCACTCCTCGCACACGTGCGGCTTCTCGCCCGTGTGCGTCTTGCAGTGCTTGTTCAAGTCGGCCTGGGCCGTGAACCCCTTCCCGCACTGCAGGCACACGTGCGGCCTCTCGCCGGTGTGCGTCCGGGAGTGTATCTCCAAGCTGGAGTGGCGCGTGAATCGTTTCCCGCACTCCATGCACACGTGCGGCTTCTCGCCCGTGTGCGTCCGGGAGTGAGTGTCCAGGTTGGAGCGCTGCGAGAACGCCTTGCCGCACTCCTTGCACACGTGCGGCCTTTCGCCCGTGTGCGTCCTCGAGTGCGTGTTCAGGGTGGAGCGCTTTGAGAAGCTCTTCCCGCACTCCAGGCACGTGTGCAGGTTCTCCCGACTGTGCACCCTGGAGTGGGCCTCCAAGTTGGAGAGCTTCGTGAACGTCTTCCCACACTCCGCGCACGCGTGCGTCTTCCGAACGGCGTGCGTCTTGCCGTGCTTGTTCAAGTCAGCCCTTGCCGCGAAGCCCTTGCCGCACTCGACGCACACGTGCGGCCTCTCGCCCGTGTGCGTCCTCGCGTGTATCTGCAGGCTGAAGCGGCGCGTGAACGTCTTGCCGCACTCGGTGCACTCGTGCGACTTCCTGGCCGCATGCGTCCTCGAGTGCAGCTCCAGGTTGGACTGCCGCGAGAAGCTCTTGCCGCACTCGGCGCACGTGTGCGGCCTCTCGCCGGCGCGCGCCCGGCAGCGCTTCTTCTTCGTCGGCGGCGCCACTGCCGCCGCCGCCGCCGCCGCCTCCGCAGGAGTCTTCGAGAGCCCCTTCTCGCACTCCTCGCACGTGTGCACATACTCCCCCGTATGCGAGATGGAGTTCGTGTTCAAGTCGCGATGCGTCGTAAACTCCTTGCCGCACTCCTTGCAAGCGAGCTTCCTCTCGTCGGCGGCGACCGCCACCGCGCACGGCGCGGCGCCTTCCGCCACCTTCCCGCACCGCTTGCAGGTTCCCCGCGTCTTGCCACCGCGCTGCGCTTCGTCCGTCTTCATCACTTCGAAGGCTCCGCCCTTCCCGCACTCGTCGCACGGCGGTTCCGATTCTTTTGCAGCGTCGTCGTCGTCGCCGACGTCGTCGTCGCCGACGTCGCCGCCGCAATCGTCGTCGTCGGCTGCAGGTTTTCACGAAACGCAAATTGCGACAGTTTGGTTAGACTTGGCGGCAAAGGGGGTAAGGGGGGGGCGAGAGATAAAACGACGAGTCGCCACCAACGACAGCAGTGACGTTCTAACGTTGGCATATTTTTCTTTTGGTCACGGTAAACTTACAGAACGATTTCCGATTCAATGCGAGAGAGGGACGGGGGGGGGGGGCTTAATGAGTCTGGCTGTTTGTGGGGTTGTGGGGGAGGGGAGGTCGGTGCGGGGGGGCGGGAGTGAACCCCCCAGGATTGACACTCAGACGCGCGTCGCAGATGATGGTGACGACGATTTTACGCCATTCTTGCGCACGATGGCGATATGTTGTTCGGGAGCCAAGTGGCAATGTCGAGCTGTGTGCTGGCCTGCAGTTATTAGTTCAAAAGAAAGGTAATTTATTTATTTACAAGTTAAACAATGAAAATACTGCACGTATTTACATCACCCCGTGATGCCAAGTCTTTGAGATTGGAGTGGTAAGTACGGTACAGTATATATGGTAACTTTTTAAAGCAGGATATTTATTTGTGTCTATTTGTATGTTCATTTATGACAATTAACACAGTAAACGCATTTTAATACACACACACAACACCTACAAACATAATGTAATTTAAGAAAGTGCAAAAAGCTATTTTAAATAATGATTAGTGTTAATTATACGGCGTTTTTGAAAATCCGGCGCACCCTTCCACCCCCTACTGTATAATCGATGGTCTACTGTATAACTGATTATCTACTGTATGATCCATGATCTCCTGTATAATCGATGGTATACTGGACTGTTTTTTTGTTTGGGTTAGATCGCGTAAATATAAATGTGGTGTCATTAAATCCGCCACCCCCACCACCCAACACAACCAATTAATCAGGGGCTTGTCACGTAAACAATACGTGGTGCCAATTAGTTACTAGTTCAGAACTACACCGATAGTGTGTTGGATAGTTTAAACCCACAACAACGTTGACAATGCGAGCACCGTGACATCAAACAATTATAACAACAACAGCCAGCATCATCAGGCGGAAGGCAGAATTGTGAAGAAGTTTTCCTGCTTCGGTCTTAAATAGAGTAAAGGTGGTGGCATCACTATGAGCCTATCAGGTGTGAAGACCAGAGGGGGGTTAAGGCAGTCACAACTCATCATGTTCATCTCAGAACATGCACTGCCTATTATCGGTTGGGTTAGTCACAGTTAATGAACATACATAATGTGTGTACATGATCAACATAATGTGTGTACATCATGTTAACCTGAGAATATGCAGTACATATTATCGGTTGGGTTAAATTACAGTTAATTAACATGCATAATGTATGAACATTATGTTGATCTGAGACGATGCAGTACCTATTATTGGTTGGACTATTCACTGTGAATTGGCTGTGTCGGGTGGTGCAGGGTTAAACGACACATTTATATTTACGCAATCTACCCAAAAAAAACCCCACCTTTATTATGGATAATTTTGGTCTCGAAAGCCTACGTGCAGAAATTAATGCCATCATGATCTACGTGAGATGGACGTCATTAATTTGAATGTATGTACGAATGTTGAACTTCTTTCGCACCGTACGTAGCCGACCGTGCTAATCGGAGGTGCTGGGGAAGGATGACAAAAACTAAACACAACAACAAGCAGTCTGTTGACCCCGTGCCCCTGCTGGACAACTGCAAAAAAGAGCTTCATAGCTCATCGGATTCTTTCCAGTCCAAATAAAGAGTCAGATTCTGATGTTCTTTAACGGCGGCGGTGGTAGTAGTTGCGTTCCTGAATAACTCCGCGTTATGGAAAAAAATAGCGCTTACAATAGACAATATGTAATGTAGGGGGTAAACCGCAGTCCGCGATAACGCGTGAGATGATGCGTACACAGGCTGAACAAAGACTGAGGTGTGTAGCGTAGCATCTAGAAGCATCCAGCAGCATCCCAATGCCTCGTGCCATGATGGCGATGATGATGCTACGCCAAGGCATCCGTTGCGAAAGCGTCTTCCTACTCGCGCGACGCAGTTTTCGTTCGCTCGATCGCTTTACTATATCCAATTCGCAATCCGCGTTATAAAAAAATGCCTTCCGCTAAAAAAGATCGACCCAATTTCAAAGCAGTATATTTAACGATGGCAACATGTTACAATTACACAAAAAGGTACAAACGGTTTAATGAGTTATCAAGTTTCGATTTAAAGCTTTCGTGACTGCAAGAATTCATCTTCTTTGGTTCTTTCGGTAAAGTCACGTAGAATGAGAATAAAATAATAAATTGATAAATAAAATAATATCAAGTTTTACTAACCATTTTATAAATGCTCTATGTGCCCTCCACCTGCTGTACGGACAACATCGAGACAATAGTTGAATTCGTCCCAAACACCTCTCAAAGTCTCTTCTTCCACTGAAGTCACTGCTGCCGTGATTGTTTTTGAGGTCATCCAGATTAGTCGCTAATGGTGGCACAAAAACACGGTCTTTGACGTATCTCCACAAGAAAAGGTCGTAAGGGTGTGATGTCTGGGGATTTTGAGGGCCAATAGTGTAGTGCCAAATCTTGGGGATCCATGCGACCTATCCAACATTGAGGCAGTGTTGTCTTGCAAATTACTGAGGCTAGGGGCTGTTTGTGCGCTGGGAGAGGCATCTAGCGGTAATCATTTGAAACTCTATGCCCCGCCCTCTCTATGCCCCGCCCTCTCTGTGCCCCGCCCTCTCTATGCCCCACCCTCTCTATGCCCCACCCTCTCTATGCCCCACCCTCTCTATGCCCCACCCTCTCTATGCCCCGCCCTTTCAAGTGCTAAGAGTTTAATTCATGGGCGGTTCGTGGTTGCAGAGATATAGCAATTTCAAATCGGATCCATTCTTTTTAAGCACCCTGTATAGTGGTTCTTAAACTGTACTGCTGCCTTGGCACCCCTTTGGTTCTCGATCGTTAACATTTTTTATGTTAATAAATACATAGGGTTTGATGAAACAAAGTAGTTGTTACTTACGTGCCCGTGCTTCATTTATTTCGATGATTTACCTTCTAAAAAATCTGGCCATGTCTCGCAGCCCCCCAGAAAGGGCATCTCGCACGCCCAGGGAGTGCGTGCACCGCGGGTTAAGAACCACTGCCCTAATACATCGCGTTATGTCGTCCAATTCGCGTTGTGAAAACAACACGATGCGTTATATAGTAGAAAGGGGATGCTGCACTTGAGAAAGGGGGCTAATGTGGGTCTGGAATTCTTTAAATCAGTCTCATCTCTGATCGCAACAAATTTGCGGGCTAACATTCCACAATCGGTAAATAGGTCCATTGAATTTTCACACAATGGTTGGTCCAAGCCTCTTTAATAATGTCCAGTTATGTCATCCGTTCCCGGAAAACCTTTTGCTTTTCGTAGTCCGAAGGACAGTGGTTTTAACCCTCTGTGGGCACGTTGCATCCGGAATGCAACGTTGCATTCTCTCAGCGAGGTGGTCAAGAATGTTGATACAGAGAGGGGCAGTGAGAGACAGAGACACGTAGACACGTATAAAGAGAGTACAGACTCAGTGACAGAGAGACAAAGCGAGAGAGAGACATACAGACAACTCGATACAGAGAGACAGAGAAACATTCGGACATACCAAGAGATAGAGATATTTACAGAAACATGATGAAACATACACACAGACAGACAGACACCCAGATATAGATTTGGTTGCTGTTATAACCTTCCACGTGATGATGACAAGCCACTGTGTTTAGCTATCATTTGTGATGGCCAGGTCCTGAAAAGGAGCTACATAGCTCAGTCGGCCTTACCTGGTAAATACAATAGTTTAGTTTTAGCACGAGTCTCGATGAGTATGGGTCTCTGTGGATTTCTGTGGATCTTTATGGGTCTGTAGAAACACGCGTTTAGAGTGCTTGGCTGCTGATATAAAATGCCCACACAATGATGATGATGATAAGTCCACTTCGTTAAGCTATCACTAGTTTAGTTTTAGTTGAGCAACCTAAGCTATTGTGATATATATTTTTTATAGATATAAATTAATATTTTACACGTTGCATTTGCTACATCCGATGCGAACACAGAAAAGTTTTGGAGGAACACACAAAGACCCCCCATATAGTTGAACACATAGTAGGGCTTTCGCGACCAATATTATCCATAAGAGTTTTTTTTGGGTTAGATCGCGTAAATATAACTGTGTGTCGTTCAACCTGCCACCACCCGGCACAGCCAATTAGTAAGGTTTGTCACCTAAACAAAACGTGGCCAATTTGTTACTAGTACAGCACTGACCGGTTGTGTGTTGGAGAGTAAACCCACTTCGACATTTACGATTTGAGTACCATGACATTTCGCCGGTAATTACAACAACCAGTATCATCAGACGAGAGCCAGATTTGTGGAGAAATCCTACTCCTGTTTCGTTCTTGTATACAGAGATACATGTGATGTTGTCACTTGTGAACCAATCAGGTGCAAAGGCCAGGGGGGGTGGAGGTAATGTATACACATAAATTACAATGGATATCCACCACTCGATCTAATCCAAAAAACCCTCTATTATGGATCCACTGTAGAGCCTGAACAGACTGTAGGGGCAAGTGCTGTTAGCGAGCAGAACCTATGAATGCCGGCACAGCACATGAGGGGGTGGGTGGCCAGCACCACACCCGGCCGCCTTTGTCTCCCCAGTGGTGATGTTACTACACACCACACCGGGTACTCGGTTGAGGAAATCGACCTAGGGGAGGGCCATGACCAGTTTGGATAATTGTCGCCGGTGTTGGCCGTGAGTAGGAATTGAACTCGGGTTGCCGGGTTCCTAGTGCGGCGAGCTAACCGCTACCGGGGGGGAACACACACGCTCACTCTCTCTCACCTTCACCCGTGTCCTCCTCGGACAGCTCCACCTCGATGAAGTTCTGGTCCGGAGTGTCCGCGTACCGACGGGAATCCTCCACCTCCTCCGGCTTCTCGGTGGCTTCTTCGATGCGAACGTCATTCGGATCCGGAGCTGCCACTCACAAAACGCACCCCATTGCCCTTCTCTCGTATGGCTGCCGACGTCGATGGCAGAGCAGCGACTACAATTTCACGTTCAGGTGGTGGTCAAGCCCAGTCGACAGCGTCAGCGGGAGCAGTGTGTACCGTCTGTCATGGATGACCACAGTCACATCACTACTAATGGAGACCCTCCACCTGCTCCCGGTCTTAAATAGAGCAGCAGGGTGACGTCATCATTTAACTCATTCAGGTGCAGTGATTTGAGGCGGAGGGGGGGGTATTGTAATTATGTAATCGATTAGTAATCAGTCAATCGTTATGATTAGTAATGAGTTGTAGATTAGTAATTAGTTGTAATGTGTGTTAGTGATTATATGCTACGATAGTAATCCGTTAATTAGTATGTGTTTCCCCTATAAGGAATTGTAATATGTATTACTTAATAATACGCTTCCAGGCCGCACTAAGCCTGTAGCTGTCAGAGCGATTAAAGTTATTTGTATTTTTCTCAATTTCAATGGATTCTCTAATTAGTCTTGGACAGTAATAATTCGTTTTACACAACACTTCAACGTTATCAAAATCAATTATCTCAAACACAACTGCCGACAGTTGTGTTTGAGATAATTTAATATTTCTTTGGTGTTATTTTAGTCTTACGCTGATGTTACGTCCCGTCTGTCCAATATAGCATCTGCCACAATCAATTAATCCGATATAAACCTGTTGAAAATTTAGGTAATTCGTCTTTAGTACAAGATACTAGATTTTGAATTTTGTGTACTGTACCAAATCTTACTTTAATGTTTTGCTTTTGCAAAACAGGGGCTAATTTGTCAGTTACTCCTGAGATATATGGTATTTTAATTGTTTTAATAATCTGATCACTTTCAGCAGTGTTGCTTTGCGATCGTGATTTGGCATTCAGTGCTCTGTTAATTTGAGCATTATTGTAGCCATTCTGTCGTAATACTTCTTTAACATGTTTAATCTCTCTCCATAGATGTTCACCATCTGACACTGTTTTAGCCCGAAGTATGAGCGTCTTGATAAGAGAGGATTTCTGAGCTGGATGATGATGTGAATCTGCATTCAGATAGGCATCAGTGTGCGTTCCCTTTCGGTAAACGCTGTGTGTTATTTTACCGTTTATGCCATGTCCAAGCAAAATATCTAATAAAGGGAGTGTGTTATTCACCTCCGTTTCCATGGTGAACTGGATGGCCGGGTTTTGTGCATTGAGATGATTTAGAAATTCATTAAGTGTGCATCTTTACCATGTGGCCAGACAACCAAAGTGTCATCAACATATCTAAACCAGGGGGCCCCTCTCACCTTCGCCGACATCGTCCTCCGACAACTCCACCTCGATAAAGTTCTGGTCTGGGGCGTCAACACGTCCACGGGAGTTCCCCGTCTCCTCGGGCCTCTCGCTGCCTCCATCAACCGGAGCGGTGTTTCGGTCCGGAGCTGCAAAATATTTCAAAACGCAGCCCCCGTTGGCATTCACGCATGGGGAGCTTAACGCACAGTGGGCCTCTCGCGACCAATATTAGTCACTATAAAGGGACGTAGCCAACCGTGCTGATCAAAGGGTGCGAGGGAAGGACAGCAAACTGAACACAAAAAAGCAGTTCTAAATCAATTAATCTAGATGATTATTTCGATGGCCAGCCTCCTCCTTCCGCGTTCGTGAATCGGCCTTCGAGTCTACGCCGTCCGTTCCGTGGTTCTGTTCTGGGGCACCACAGCTGCCGCCGCCAAACTCACCGGAGAGTCTGTGGGTCTCAATATTCTACTTCATACAGCTGATATTGATAAGGAACATCCGCTGTGATTTCACACTAAGGTGGTCGATGAGCCAGGTGATTGGGTCAGGAGTAACTGCGTAGTGAATCATCATCGCTGTGATGATGATGATGTATGTACGTCGAAGTTTCTTTCGCACCTTACGTAGCCAACCGCGCTAATGGGAGGTGCGGGGGAAAGACAACAAACTAAACACACAAAACATGTTCCAAAGAAACGAGTTTTCAATGCAGTATAGTCGTGTAGTGTATGGTATTGTCGTGTATCGTAGTATAGTGTAATGTGTATTGTGGTGTATAGTGTAGTATTTAGTGCATAGTGTAGTGTGTATTGTAGTGTATATTGTAGTGTGTATATGTTCAACTTTTTTCGCACCGTACGTAGCCAACCGTGCTAATCGGATGTGCGGGGGAAGGACAACAAACTACACACAACAACAATAAGCAGCTCTAAAGAAATGAGTTCTCAAACTAGATGATGATTATTTAAAAGTGCACAACTCCCAGTGGCTTCCTCAGATCGGAAGGTGATCGCCGCCTCTGTTCGACGGCCGAGCCAAAAGCCGCCGCCGCCGCTGCGAGATCGACGACCGTAGCTCGCGCGGTGGTCCGAGTGGCCTTCCCGTGGCTGCCCTGCCATTCATTTCCACGAGGACGCTTTTCTGTTGTTGTTGTTGTTGATTGTTGAAAAGATGGATCGCGGTAGAGTAGTGCGATTGTGGCCACGCAACCCAAAAGCTACGGACCCATACGGTGAACACCACCTGTGGCCTGCGCTCCTTCGCAAAACTGAAGCCCTCTCGTCGCGGCGAGCAGCAGACCTCGGACATTGGCACCTGCAGCTCCCGAACTGCATTGCTGCCATGGGCAAGGATGTAACAGGTTACATGCAATGTTAACCTATGGGCAGTGTTGTTCTATGGATCCAGTGTTATTCTACGTACAACATTAGCCTCTGGACCAAATAGTGAACCCACTGTAGTCTGCGTTCCTTCAACGGAGAACGGCAAAAACTACACGCGACTCTCTCTCCCTCTCCTGCAGCCCTCTCGTCGTGGCTAGCAGACCGACCTTCAACATTGGCATTTAGTCAGTGAACTTATTGCTGCCATACGCAAGAACAGAATGCAATGTTAATCCATGGGCAGTGTTATTCTATGGGTGCAATGGTATTCTATGGACACGTTAGTTGAATAGAATGCTGCTGAATGGAGTACAAAATAATATAATGCCTTAACCTCATTACATGACTCCCAATAGTAGCGTAAAATGGAATATATGATCCATGGTAAAACAAGCCAAAATTTTTATAAATTTGCCTCTCAAAGGGGCGGGAACTCACCTTGACCAATGTCCTCCTCCAGCAACTTGACGACGATGAATTTCTGAACGTCTTCCGACCACACCTCCACCTTGACCAGCTTCTTCTTCGTCGCGGTCACGCAGCCGCGGGCTTCTTCCACCTCCTTCCCCGGTCGCCCGGCAGCTTCGTCAACCTCAGGAACGTTGCCATCTGCAGCTGCGATTTAAGAAGTAGTAGAGAGCTCAGCGAAGTGGCTTATAACATGGACATTTTATATCAGCCAAATACGATAAACGCATGACGTTGATTCTAAATGTGGAGGGTAAAACCGGAGGACCTGGAGAAAAATCAACGATACCACGGGGCAGACAGAGAGACGCAGACTCCAAATACACAGCAGCAGGCGTCAGGGTGAGGATCGAACCCACGACGTCCTGTACACCAAGCGAGGGAGTCAACATCTCCCTGAGCCAGCACGCCGTTCGGTGCCGTGGCGCTGATGTGGCGATATTGTGATCATCGGCGTCTTTACGTTTCGCCGTAGAGTCGGCGCACTCACCAGGACACGGATGTTCTTCGCGCTCTTGTTTGATGGTCGGAAACGTGATTCGTGAATCCATCTGGAGAAAAAAAAAACGATGTTTTCGACATCCACGTAAATTTGTGTAGAAAGACAACAAAAGACCCACCCTGTAACAGACTGTTGGGGCAAGTGGCTGTCCCGTAGCGAGCAGCAGCGCCGATGAAGGTCGGCACTGTGGCTCACGAGCGGGTGGGTGGCCAGCACGATGCCTGGCCGCCTTTGACTCCCTGAGTGACGATGTTTACGACACACACCGCACCAGGTACTCGTTTCAGGCTGAGTCGACCTAGGGGTGGCCCATGGCCTGTTCAGATATTCATCACTGGTGTTGGCCCTGAGCCGGAAACGCACTCGTTCGTAGTGCAGCGCGCTAACCGCTGCACTACCGCTCCTCGAAGACAAAGATCCCCCGTAGAGCCTTAACAGACTACTGGGGTAAGTGCTGTTAACGAGTGGAAGCACCTATGAAGGCTGGCACGGCACACGAGGTGGGTGCCCAGCACCAAGCCCGGCCGCCTTTGTCTCCCCCAGTGGCGATGTTTACTACGTAAACCGCACCGCGTACTCATTTGAGGCTGAGTCGACCTAGGGGAGGGCCAGGACCGGTCCAGATAATCGTCACCGGTGTTGACCGTGAGCAGGAATCGAATCCGGATCACCGGGTTCGTAGCGCAGAATATTTATACTCCGATTAGAATGGTTGGCTACGTACGGTGCGAAAGAAGTTCAACGTACATACACTGCACTACAATACACTATAGACTGCACTATACACACTACGCTATACACTGCATACTACACAATATACAATACACACTACACTATACACTACTCTACACTAAGCTACACTATACACTACTATACACTAAGCTACACCCTACACTATGGTAGATTAAGCTACACACTACACTATACACTACTCTACACTAAGCTACACTATACACTACTCTACACTAAGCTACACTATACACTACTATACACTAAGCTACACACTACACTACTCTACACTAAGTTACACACTACACTATACACTACTATACACTAAGCTACACACTACACTATACACTACTCTACACTAAGCTACACACTACACTATACACTACTCTACACTAAGCTACACACTACACTATACACTACTCTACACTAAGCTACACTATACACTACTATACACTAAGCTACACACTACACTATGCACAACGGTACACTACACTATACACTACACCACTATATCAAGTTAAAAACTAATGTCTGTAGAACTGCTTCTTGTTGTTGTTGTGGTGTTTAGTTTGTTGTCCTTCCCCCGGCACCTCCGATTGGCCACGGGTTGCCTACGTACGGTGCGAAAGAAGTCCAACGTAACAGCACACACAAACAAGACCGGCACAAGTATCGATTACAGCTGTCAATGACGACAACAGGCTACGGTGACAATAGCCAACAGAATCCTGGATGTTAATTGGTTACCTCACTTGTAGTGTTTGCCGAATCTCTGTCGATACTCAGTGGAGCTGTCTCTCTGTGGCCACGTGTCTCTCTCTCTATCCTTGTTTCTGTCTCTCCGTCTCTCTGTGTCTGTCTCTGTGTCTCTCTGTGGCCACGTGTCTCTATCCTTGTTTTTGTCTCTCTGTCTCTGTGTCTGTCTCTGTGTCTCTCTGTCTCTGTGTCTCTCTCTGTGGCCACGTGTCTCTCTATCCTTGTTTCTGTTTCTCTGTCTGTCTCTCTGTCTCTCTGTGGCCACGTCTCTCTCTCTATCCTTGTTTCTGTCTCTCTGTCTCTCTGTGTCTGTCTCTGTGTCTCTCTGTCTCTGTGTCTCTCTCTGTGGCCACGTGTCTCTCTGTCTGTCTCTGTGTCTCTCTCTCTGTGGCCACGTGTCTCTCTGTGTCTGTCTCTTTGTCTCTCTGTCTCTGTGTCTGTCTCTCTGTGGCCACGTGTCTCTCTCTATCCTTGTTTCTGTCTCTCTGTCTGTCTCTCTATGGTCACGTGTCTCTCTCTCTATCCTTGTTTCTGTATCTTTGTCTCTGTCTGTCTCTCTGTCTATCTGTGGCCACGTGTCTCTCTCTCTATCCTTGTTTCTGTCTCTCTGTCTCTGTCTCTCTATGGTCACGTGTCTCTCTCTATCCTTGTTTCTGTCTGTCTCTCTGTCTCTGTGTCTGTCTCTCTGTGGCCACGTGTCTCTCTATCCTTGTTTCTGTATCTTTGTCTCTGTCTGTCTCTTGTCTCTCTCTATGTCCACGTGTGTCTCTGTCTATCTAGGAATGTATCTATCCTTGATTCTGTATCTTTGTCTCTGTGTCTATGTCGGTATCTGTGTCTGTCTCTGTATCTTTCTTAGCACTGTGCGTCTTTGTCTCGTCTCTCTCTCTCTCTGTGTTAATCTTTGTCTCTGTGTGTCTCTGTAGCTTCGTCTTTCTGTCTATCCCCCCCCCTGTCTCTTTGTCTCGGTCTATGTATCTCTGTCTCTTTGATCCGAGTTACGTCTAAGCCTCTTGCTATGTCTGTGTATATATCTCTCTCTGTGTGTATCTGCCTCTGGGTCTGTCTGTCCCTATCTCTCTTTCTAAATGTCTGTCTCCGTGTCTCGATGTCTCTATCGTTATCTCTGGGTCTCTGTATCTCTGTCTTCCTCCGCGTCTATCTAAATCTCTCAAGTCTCTGTCCGACTCTATCCCTGTCTCTGTAGTTGTATATTTGTCTCTGTGTGAATCTGTGTCTATCTCCCTGTCTCTCAATGTATATTTGTCTCTGTCTCCCTATCTTTGTGGCTGTGTGTGTCTCTCTCTCTTCGTATCTCCCTGTGTATCTCGGCTCTGTCTGTATTTGTCTCTCTGTCTCTCTCCCTCTGCCTGCCTCTGTGTCTGTCTCTCTGCGTGGTTCTGTCTGCGTCTCAGCGTCTCTCTCTCTCTCTGTCTCTTAGTCTTTCTGCCTGTCTGTATCTGTCTCTCTCTCTGTCTCTCTCTCTCTGTCTCCCTCAGTCTCTCTGTATCTGTCTCTATCTGTCTCTTACTCTTTCTGTCTGTATGTCTCTCTGTATCTGTCTCTCTCTGTCTCTCTGCCTCTCTCTCTCTCTCTCTGTCTCTCTGTATCTGTCTCTCTCTCTGTCTGTCTCCGTCTCTCTCAGTCTCTCTGTTTCCGTCTCTCAGTCTCTCTCAGTCTCTGTCTCTCTGTATCTGTCTCTCTGTCTCCGTCTCTCTCAGTCTCTCCGTCTCTCTCAGTCTCTCTGTATCTGTCTCTCAGTCTCTCTCAGTCTCTGTCTCTCTGTATCTGTCTCTCTGTCTCCGTCTCTCTCAGTCTCTCCGTCTCTCTCAGTCTCTCTGTATCTGTCTCTCAGTCTCTCTCAGTCTCTGTCTCTCTGTATCTGTCTCTCTGTCTCCGTCTCTCTCAGTCTCTCCGTCTCTCTCAGTCTCTCTGTATCTGTCTCTCAGTCTCTCCGTCTCTCTCAGTCTCTCTGTATGTCTCTCTCAGTCTCTCGATCTCTCTCTATATCTGTCTCTCTCAGTCTCTCTGTATGTCTCTCTCAGTCTCTCGATCTCTCTCTATATCTGTCTCTCTCAGTCTCTCTGTCTCCGTCTCTCTCAGTCTCTCTGTATGTCTCTCTCAGTCTCTCTCAGTCTCTCTGTATCTGTCTCTCTCTCTCTGTCTCTCTGTCTCCGTCTCTCTCAGTCTATCAGTCTCTCTGTCTCTCTGTATCTGTCTCTCTGTCTTTGTCTCCGTGTCCCCACGGCCGCTGTCTCCGTGTCTCTCTCTGTCCCTGTCTCAGTGTCCCCACAGCCGCTGTCTCCGTGTCTCCCTCTCTGTCTCTCTGTCCCTGTCTCAGTGTCCCCACGGCCGCTGTCTCCGTGTCTGCCTCTGTCTCCGTGTCTCTCGCTGTCTCCGTGTCCCCACGGCCGCTGTCTCTGTGTCTCTCTCTGTCCCTGTCTCCGTGTCTCTCTCTGTCTCTGTCTCCGTGTCTCTCTCTGTCTCTGTCTCCGTGTCTCTGTCTCCGTGTCTCTCTCTGTCTCTATCTCCGTGTCTCTCTCCGTCTCTATCTCCGTGTCTCTCTCTGTCCCTGTCTCCGTGTCTCTCTCTGTCCCTGTCTCCGTGTCTCTCTCTGTCCCTCTGTCTCCGTGTCTCTCCCTGTCCGTGTCTCTCTCTGTCTCCGTGTCTCTCTCTGTCTCCGTGTCTCTCTCTGTCCCTGTCTCCGTGTCTCTCTCTGTCTCCGCCGTGTGGTGACCCCCCCCCCACACTCAACCCATTCACCCCGCAGCGAGCGACAAGATGCGGCACAAGGGCGGTCACAGGCGACGAGGGGATGCTGAGACGTTCTCTGTCTCTGTGTCTCTCTGTACGTGTATCTGTGTCTCTTTGTCTCCGTCTCTCTGTCTCTTTGTCTCCATCTCTCTGTCTCTCTCTGTGTCTCTCTGTCTCTGTGTGTGTCTCTCTGTCTCTGTGTCTCTCTGTCTCTGTGTGTATCTGTCTCTGTGTGTATCTGTCTCTGTGTCTCTCTGTATCTGTGTCTCTGTGTCTCTCTGTCTCTTTGTCTCTCTGTCTCTGTGTCTCTCTCTCTGTGTCTCTCTCTGTGTCTCTTTGTCTTCATCTCTCTGTCTCTCTGTGTCTCTCTGTCTCTGTGTCTCTCTGTCTCTGTGTGTGTCTCTCTGTCTCTGTGTGTGTCTCTCTGTCTCTGTGTGTATCTGTCTCTGTGTCTCTCTGTATCTGTGTCTCTATCTCTGTCTCTGTGTCTCTCTGTCTCTTTGTCTCTCTCTGTCTCTGTGTGTGTCTCTCTCTCTGTGTGTCTCTCTCTCTGTGTCTCTATGTCTCTGTGTCTCTCTCTGTATCTGTGTCTCTGTCTCTGTGTCTCTCTGTCTCTTTGTCTCTGTCTCTCTGTCTCTTTGTCTCCATCTCTCCGTGTCTCTGTGTCTCTCTGTCTCTGTGTCTCTCTGTCTCTGTGTGTGTCTCTCTGTCTCTGTGTGTATCTGTTTTTGTGTCTCTGTATCTCTGTCTCTGTGTCTGTCTCTTTGTCTCCATCTCTCTGTCTCTCTCTGTGTCTCTGTCTCTCTCTTTATCTGTGTCTCTGTCTCTGTGTCTCTCTGTCTCTTTGTCTCCGTCTCTCTGTCTCTTTGTCTCCATCTCTGTGTCTCTGTGTCTCTCTGTCTCTGTGTCTCTCTGTCTCTGTCTCTCTCTGTCTCTGTGTGTATCTCTCTGTGTCTCTGTCTCTTTGTCTCCGCCTCTTTGTCTCCATCTCTCTCTCTCCGTGTCCCCACGACTGCTGTTTCCGTGTCTCTCTGTCTTTCTCTCTGTACACGTTAGAGTGTGTGTACGTGTGCGTGTGTGTACGTGTGTACGTGTGCGTGTGTGTACGTGTGTGTACGGAAATCCCTCAGCAAGGAAAACACCGTGGCACAAAGTGGGGATGACCCTGCTGAGGTTGCGGTGCCTCAAATATTGGAAGAAGTCACCCCCTGTGAGTGGCTGGCTGAGGTGCCATCTGTTGAGGAAGCACTGAAGGCGATCCGGAGTCTGAGACCAGGAAAGGCACCGGGCAGAGATGATCTCCCAAGCGAAATGCTGAGGGAGGGTGGCGTTTGTGCACAGACTGCCCTATATGACATCATAACAACAGTTTGTGCCACTAGACGGTTCCACAGGATTGGAAGGATGCCCTGGTGGTCCCCCTCCTTAAGAAGGGGGACCGCACAGACTGTAACAACTACAGGGGCATCTCACTCCCCAGTGTGCCGGGAAAGGTCCTGGCAAGAATTATTCAACATCGCCTTGCCAGGCCCGCTGGCTGAAAGAGGTGTTCCGGCTGGCTCACGATCATTAAGGACCTTCATGATGGTGAGCAGGCCCGGGTAAAACTACGTGGCCGGGAGTCAGAGCCATTCCCTGTACACTTTGGGGTGCGACAGGGATGTCCTCTGGCTCCCACATTATTTAACATCTATTTTGACCACGTAGTTCGTGAAGCCTTCAATAGGTGTACCGGGGGAATCTCCATTTAGTACGGATATAATGGGAGGCAGATCGATGCCCGGGTGCGGTCAAGGGATGGCTCCCTATTACTCAACCACATTATGTATGCCGATGATTTGGTAATAGCTGCTCATTCAGAGGAGGAGTTGGAGAAGCTGCTGCTGAGACTGGAGCATGCCACTAAGAGGTGGGGCTTAACCATTAGCCCCACCAAAACTAAGCACCTGCCTGGGTATTTTGTACCATCGGACACTCCACCCCCATAACTCCCAATCAGTGATGGGGCATTTGTGGAGAGAGTGGAGAGTTTCCCATACCTGGGCAGTGTACTTATGACCAGCTCCAGTTTAACAGCAGAGGTCTCACTCCGAATCAGTCGAGTGGAAATATCTTTTCATCGGTTGTGTAACGCTGTGTGGAAGCAACCTGGTCTGTCGCTCCGCACTAAGCTTCAGGTCTTCTCGGCTACGGTCATTCCTTCCCTTCTCTACGCTTGCGAAACGTGGACCCCCCTAATGGAACATCTTCGCCAGTTAGAAACATTTAGGCTAGCCTGCCTACGATCCATCCTGGGTTTAACCAGGCTGGATTGTGTGAGGAGCTCACAATTCCTTGAAATATCTGGACAAGGTCCCATCGTTGAGCTCCTCCGGCAGGCAAAGCTGCGTTGGCTGGGTCATGTAGC